AACTGCCATTTCCTTCCCTTCTGATGCCAGCTGCAGAGTTCTCTGCTCTCTTAAAAGAACTTTATTGCTTTTCCAGTTGTGACTGAGGTCAGGTCTAGACTCGCGGGACGATCACCCCTCTGGTAGTCAATCTTCCACCATTCGATTTAGCAGGTCTAATAAAGACCCACTAACTCAAGTGCTGAAGGCTCCCGCCCTTAGCTTTAGTACTCCTAGCTGTGACAAGAAGGGACGTTGATGGGAGCTTCTCTCCTATTGACCGCCCACTGTGGGAACAGTGCTGGAGTTTGGCTCAAGGTACGTAGCTGGAATTGTGTAGCTTAAACCAACCTTCCCCATGGAATAGACTTGGCCTAAGTTTCCATTCATGGTTTGTAGAAAAAAAACCTTAAGTATATGGCAGAGGTAGGAATGTTTCAAATCCAGCTGAGTTTCACATGACATTCTTAGGCTGTTTACAGAACATACAAATACAACTGCTAGTGGAGCAATTAAGGAGGACATTTAAAGACAAGTCAGAATCCTACGGCTGGAAGAGACCTCAGGAGTCATCTAGTCCAGTCCCCTGCCTAAAACAGGACCAAGCACAACTAAACCATCCCAGCCAGGGCTTTGTCAAACCAGGACTTAAAAACCTCTAGAGATGGAGATTCCACCACCTCCCTAGGGAACCCATCCCAGTGCTTCCCCACTGTCCTTGGGAAATAGTTTTTCCTAATATTGAACCTCGCCCACTGCAACTTGAGCCCATTGCTCTTTGTTCGATTATCTGACTAGAATCCCAGCCCTTGGGAATGCCTCCATCTACAAGCTAGCCAGCACTTGAACACTTACATGGAGATGTTTCCTTAAATGCTGAGTATTTTTAAGTAACTTGTGTGGTTTGTGAATTAATCTGAACCGAATGGGGATCTAGTCAGTGATTTTTACAGTATTCTATTTGTACACCCAGACTTTTTTCCCCTACAGCTTTCCATTTTTGGTTTTTCTGCTCCCTAATGATAGCATCCTTTACTACCTGGAAGAGACTATTCTCAGTGAGCAGGGGGAGGAGTAAAGGTCTCAAGCTGCATCCTGGAAGAGACTATTCTCAGTGAGCAGGAGGAAGAGTAAAGGTCTCAAGCTGCAATAGGGGAGGTCTAATTTGGATATTAGTAAAATAGTTTTTTCTAGGAACTGGGCTGGGTTCCCTAGGGAGGTGGAGGAATCTCCATCCCTAGAGGTTTTTAAGTCCTGGTTTGACAAAGCCCTGGCTGGGATGATTTAGTTGGCGTTGGTCCTGTTTTGGGCAGAGGGCTGGACTTGATGACCTCCTGAGATCTCTTCCAACCCTAGGATTCTATGATCTGTCACCACTGAGAACAGCCTCTCCATTCTCAGTGGAAACTCCTTACAGGTAGTTAAAGGCTGATATCAAATGTTCCCCTCCCTCTTCTTCTATAGAGTAAACAAGCCCAAATTCCTCAGTCTCTCCTCATAGGCAGGGCTTGACAAACTGCTGAATCTACTCGCCCGTGGCGAGATTTCAGCTGGTCGCGCCACAAGCCCCATTCACTGGTGCTTCGCGCATCCCAAATTCCTCAGTCTCTCATAGGCAGGGCTTGACAAACCACTGAATCTACTCGCCCGTGGCGAGATTCCAGCTGGTCGCGCCACAAGCCCAGCTCCCGCCCCCTCATCATTTTCGTTGCCCTCCTCTGGATTGTCTCCAATGCATCCACATCCCTTCTGTTGAGGGGGCCCAGAATTGGGACAACACTCCAGATTTGGCCTTACTAGTGCCAAATAAAGAGGAATAGTCACTTCTCTGGATCTGCTGGCAATGCTCCTCCTAATGCACCCTAATATGCCATTAGCCCTCTTGGCTACAAGGGCACACTGTTGACTCATTCAGCTTCTCATCCACTGCAGTCCCCAGGTCCTTTTCTGCAGAACTGCTACTTAGCCAGTCGGTCCCCAGCCTGTACCAATGCTTGGGATTCTTCTGTCCCACATGCAGGACTCTACACTTGTCCTTGTTGAACCTCATCAGAATTCTTTTGGCCCAATCCTTTAATCTGTCCTATCCCTGCCCTCCAGCGCATCTACCTCTCCCCCACCTAAGCGTCATCCACAAACTTCAAGGGTGCAATCCATCCCCACATTCAGATCAATAAAGATGTTCAACAAAACAGGCCCTGGAACCGATCCTTGGGGCACTCTGCTAGAAACCAACTGCCAATCATAGCCGTTGATCACTACTCATTGGGCCCAACAATGTAGCCAGCTTTCTATCCACCTTACAGCCCATTTATCCAATCCATACTTCCACAATATTCTTGCCAGCAAATTTAAGGGAGACCGTGTCAAAGGCTTTGCTAAAGTCATCCCCGTGTCCACAGACGCAGTTACCTCATCCTAGAAGCTAATCAGATTGGTCAGGCACGACTTGCCCTTGGTGAATCCATGTTGACTATTCCTGATCCCTTTCCCCCATTCCTAGTACTTCAGAATGGCTTCCTTGAGGATCCCCTCCAGGATTTTTCTAGGGATTGAGGTGAGGTGGACCAGTCTGTAGTTCCCTGGATTGTCATCCTTCCCTTGTCTAAAGAGGGGCCCTATATGTTTACCTCTTTCCAGTTGTCCATGACCTCCCCCACTTGCCACAAGTTTTCAAAAATAAAGGCCAATGGCCAAAGTCAATATTTCCAGCTTTCTTTAGAGCAGGGTTTTTCAAACTTCCTGTCACCATGACCCCCTTCTGACAACAAAAGCTACAATATGACTCCAGGTGGGGGAAATCAAAGTCTGCCTGAGTCCCACTGCCCCTGGTGGAGGGGGGCTGTCAGCTTTCAGTCTAAGCTGCACAGCATCACAGGTGATTCATCAGCCCTACCCAGTCAGACAGCCCCATGCATGGAGGAGCCCTGAGCCTCTGACTGGGTGGGGCTAATCCCCTGTGAAGCTGTGCTGCCATGCAGCTTAGAGGGAACACAGGCTGTCACCAGAGCCCGGCCATCAAGGGCTGAAGCCCTCAGGCTTTGACCCTAGATCAGTGTTCCCTGTGAGCTGAGCATTTGGGTGGCCACCCAGCTGATTAGCAGAGCTCCCCCAGGTAGCATTGTTTCTACTGGTAGTACACATCAAATTTATTCTACACACAGATGGAAGCAATTTCAGGAAACACTGCCCCAGATGGTAGGCTCAGACAACCCCATTGAAACAGGCTCACAACCCACTTTGTGGTCCTGACCCACAGTTAGAACTGCTGCTTTAGAGGTTTCTAAGCCAGTAGTTGCAAAGGTCAGTAGTAATAACTAACAGTACAGGCTGTTACTAGCTGCACCAATACACACAGCAGCAGCTGAAGACAACTGAACTGCATAGCACCATACAGGACTGGCTTGCTGCCATAAGAATATTGTTGGCCTTATGATGAATGTTTCCTGGTAATTTTTTTTCCCTAAAATGAAGCAAGTAATCCATCCCCATTAAGTCACATACTTATTAGTCCTGCTGCTCTTAGGAGCCAGGATTATGTACATTGATGAACTGCACATTCTAGAAAAAAATCGCTCTTAGGAGCCAGGATTATGTACATTAATGAACTGCACATTCTAGAAAAAAAATCAGAGTACACAGTCTCCTTCAGACATGAGCTGTTTTGCTGTATTGATCATCATTTAGCTCGTTAAATGCAATAGCCATGTATTTGTTGGCATTAGACAGTTCCAATTAACAAAAGCCTCTGGATTTCCTACAGGAGCTTCCCCTGCCTAACCACCTCTCCCTATTTTATAAAGCTTGAATTAGGGATGTAATAGTATGGTCAATTAACTGATAACCTACGTTTTTGCTTAATGCTATATACTACACGCATTTCCTCCCCTTCCCCACTAGTAATTTTTTTAAGCAGGCTGACCAGCAGCCCAGCTGAGTCCTCGCTCACCCTGGCTCTGGGACCTGCCCTGCTCAGTTCTGGCTCATGTCAGGTCTGGGAGCTCAGACACCCCTCCCCCACCTCCAACAGACAGGCCAGGTGACAGCCAACTAGTCCACAAAGGGAGCTGGTTTTTCAACTGGCTCCCCTTGCAGCTCAGCTCCTACCTGGCACCCCACATTGCAGCCTCTGAAATAGACTATTCAATTAATCGATATTTAACATCCCTAGCTTAAATGATTAAGATGAACTGGGTATGTGAAGAGCAATAACCTAATGAAGCAGGACAGTTAATCCCTATAGGGACAAGTCTGGCTCTATTCAGTGATGTTAATTGCTTCAGTTGTTCCCAACTTGAACAGATGAGCTGTGGGCCTACAGTGCTAGTTTTCCTAGTTTCCAGATACTTATAGGAGACCAAGCCTTTGACATAGCTATGGGGGTAGCTGGAAACAAGAAGCTAACATAGTACCTTTACCCAGGCTGCTGCGTAGATGCAGACCAACAGGAAGATGTAATTAAATCAGGGAGAGCAGTTAGCCACTGAATTTACTAAGGGTTATGGATTTTCCATCAATGGTAGTGTAGAAATCAGAGCTTTTTTTAAAAAAAGCTTATTTGAAACAGGACTCTTTGGGGACATTCATAGCCTGTTTTACCCAGCTGGTCAAGCTACAGGATTACAATGGTCCCTTCTGACCTTGGAAGGTTTTAACAGAGGGAAGAGAAGGGAGAAGAACAGATGGTCAACAATAGGGGAATATGTCACATTTAAAAACCTGTCCATACTATAAGAATTTGAGAACCGATTTGATTTTTATAGAACTGAGGCTCCCCCCCACCCTCCCAAGACTGATGTTTGCAGCGAGCTACATACATGCCATTCCTTGATATCATTTGGACCAGATTTTCAGAGTGTTCAGAACAAACAGTGGGAAGCATCCTTGAAATATGGTCAGCATGAAAAGGGCATGTTGTGCAGAGTGAGCTATCCTGAAAACAGCCCTGGACTAACAGATTTATTTATATATCTTATTCCCACAGGAAGGGATAACTCTTAATTCAGAGACTCAGACACTTCAAACATTGAGATAATTTTATTTAGTCTTAGTCTCACATTTAAACAGCAATGTAGCCAGCAGAACAACTAGTTTTGATTAGGCCCCTTGAAATAGTTTGCCCATCTTCAGAATCTTCTAGTTTAAAACTACACTGTTACAATCAATCCAGCATGTTTATCAATGTGTCAAAAAAAATCTAAAGGGACCTTTAAGTTGTGTCAAGGTTTGAGCAATCAGTTATGAATTATAATATAAACTAACACGATCTTACAGATAGCTTTAGACCTTAGACGTTTATTACTGAAGCATCTTTCAATTTTAGAACTTCAAATGCTAATGTTCAACTTCTTCGTTCTGTAGAATTTGATTAGGCTAAACCTGTAAATTAAACACAGAATTAGCAAAATTATAAATTTCCATGCTGAACAAACGTTTAACCCCCAGGCAGTGAACAGTCTGTGCTCAGGTGATTCAGGAAGACCCAATTCCTCAGTGACACTAGGCATCCCTAGGGTTTGGTGCACTCCCCTCAATAAAAGCCAGAACAGCTGACGTGGCTGAGAAACACCCATTAATAGAAATGCACCTTACACAGTTTGAATTTCCACTTTTGAGTCCACTTGTAATTTCAGACTTGCACATTCCACAAAGGAGGTAATGCATTAGAAGTTTTGTGCACTTTCAGTTCCATTCCAAGTGACTACTGTGGGATCTGACACACAACTCAGCATGGACAATACCATGCTGGTTCTTCTCCACTTTCGATACTGGGAAGAGGCACTTTGAGATAGCTACTTAATCTTATTGATTAGGTAGCTAGTTATTAAATCTGTACCAGACCCCACACAACTAAGCCAGCTACTCACCATTAGCAAACTTGCACTGCTTCAACACCTCACTGAAGCCCTCACACAGCTTAAGGTCACTCTGGTTCTGTGCACACTCCAAAAATTGCTTCATTTCGTACTGGCAGGGGGTGTACTGGCTCTGCTGCTGCTGATATGCAGGCTGAGCTGCTTGAGGCTCCTGAAAAAGAAGCCACAGTAGGACAAATTTTCATCTTTGAAAAATGAACTTTGATTATTTCTAGCTATACAGAACCTGACCAGCAGAGGAGCTATTACAATATGTATATTTCTACTTATTTCTTCCCTTGTAAAGATAATAGGTACCCCCTTGGAAGTTCTGCATCTTTCAAGTAGTAAGGGTAATATGCTTCCCCCCAAAATTAATGGAAGTCAGCCCATTAACTCAATCAGATGTAAGATTACATCAAGTATTTTAGAACACAAGACCTGTCCCTTGAGGGATTCAAAACCCAATACAGTAACACAAGGACTAGAGTACCTACAAAAGCCTGGCCTCAAGTATTAGTGAACAGAAGTCAATTCACATTCAATAAAACATTAAGATAATTTACTGTTTCTCTCATATATTCTTGAGACTGTGGAAAATGAACTTGTTTTGGCTTGCCAAAGTAAAGTGCCTGCATTTTAAAGAAAAAGGTTACCAGAAGAGACATTAATGAAAACTTGATCTGTCAGTCTCCAATCTGTTTCAGTAATATAAACCATTAGGTATGGAAGGAGAGGATAACGTGTTAAATACAGCAAAGCAGGATGGATAAAAATAGGTGTTCAAATCCGTTTTTAATTTATTTAAGTTAGATTTTATTTACAAAGCAGGATGGATAAAAATAGGTGTTAAATTAAAAACTGATTTGATTTAAGTTAGATTTTATTTATTTTTTAAAACAAAATTATCTTAAAATAAGTTACTACATTCTCAGTTGTCACAACTATGCAACATCTACACATACTAGTCTCAAAAATGAATTAATGGCTCTAGTCTGTCCTTCCTTGCTTCTTGAAAGTTCTGGGCTTTCAATTTGTTAGGTTGCTGAGAACATGTGGAAAGAGAAACAAGCTGGATAGGATTATTTTTGTTCTGTGCTCACGTGGTAGCAAATCTGGGCCACGCATGGCAGAGTAAGTTAAGACATTGTCTACAGTAGGGATGTAAAATCCCACTTAGTTAACCAGTTAAGAGAGGGATCCCACCCACTGACCACAGACAAAGGCTGCCCTTATCTGTTAAGGATTAACATTCTTAGTCTCAAAACAGAAGCAATGTACAGTAAACTTCCGATAATACGGCACCTTTGGGACCCAGGGGGTGCTGGATTATTGGATATGCCAGAGTACCAGAAAGGGGGCTATGAAGGGTCAGGGGGAGGTCAGCAGGGCACCGCACAGCACTCTAGCTGCTCTACCCCCGGCTTCCGCAAGTCCGCCACTGGTCAGTTTCAGCAGCAGTGGACTTGGGGAAGCTGGGGGCAGAGCAGCTGGGGTGCTGCCGGGTTGGTACCGCAGCACCGCCCCCTCACCTGAGCTTTGCCCCATGGCTTCCCCAAGTCCGCCGCTGCTAAAACTGACCAGCGTCGGACTTGGGGAAGCCGGGGCACAGCAGCTCCAATTGTCCAGCTGGCTAGAGCACTTCCAGGTTCCAGTTGGTGCCGGACTATCAGGAGTGCCGGACCACTGGATGCCAAACAACTGGATTTTACTGTATAGGAAAGGATGGAAGCAGCGTAGGAAGGAACTGTGGAGTGGACTGGGAAGTAAAAGAGAACACAAACAGCACACACACAGCTTCCTAGAGTCCCCTCAACTTTTGCCACAGAGAGAGTGTCATGGCTCATGTGTGTAAAGGAGACTATCTGGGAATATTCTGAAGAAACTCAATCCCTGGTTAAAAAAGGAAAATGTGTCAAGTGTAAGGCTAGGTGCAAGAAACAAACTAGGGACACAAAATCCTGGTTAATCAAGTTAAATGGTTAACGGGACAGGACAAGCCTTCCATGGGTGGACAACTGCTCTGACTATGCCAGGCCCACTCCAGGCCAGGCCTGCTCCAGCCAGGGCCCCACAGCCCACCGGTAAGCCATAACTGGTAAGCATCACCCAGTAAGGTGATGAATCATAAGGAAAACTGCTTACTAGGAGAAAGCGTGGCTGTCTGAAGAACATTGTACTATTGTTTGAAGAACTATATGAAGTCATATCAGTGAGAAAACTGATTTAAGTCAACCCACCCTTGATTAAAGTTTTAGCCTTAGCTGACCATTTTAATCTAGTTTTGACCTCTTCCCTTAACATTTTATTACTCTGGCAGCTAATCAAATCAAACCATGAGGTACTAGGAGAAAGCGTGGCTGTCTGAAGAACATTGTACTATTGTTTGAAGAACTATATGAAGTCATATCAGTGAGAAAACTGATTTAAGTCAACCCACCCTTGATTAAAGTTTTAGCCTTAGCTGACCATTTTAATCTAGTTTTGACCTCTTCCCTTAACATTTTATTACTCTGGCAGCTAATCAAATCAAACCATGAGGGCATTGGATTCAACAGACTATGTGTCACACTCCTTTGGGGGGGGTGGGGGGGGAGGAAGGGAGTGTTTAGAGCCAGTAACTTCTAAACACAGTACACCCTCCACTGCCTGACACTAGTCATTTAAAATACATTTCATAAAAGGCATGGTACCAGGCAAAATAAACATACCAGAAAATAACTGTGCATGTGTCCCCATATACCAGCTCCCTACATTAAGCACTCAGGCCTATAATTTCAGTCACAAGTTATCCAATTTCACTCATAGCTGAGACTTAAAATACAGTGTTAACCACATACCTGATAAGTAATATCAGGCCTTGCAGCTTCAGAGCTGCTTCCTCCACCAAATCCTCCTGTCATTGCATGACCTAGTGTGTGTCCTACAGCTGAGCCTACTGCTACCCCAGCAGCTGTTGTAGCCATCTGTGCCATCAGACCAGGTTGCCTTGGTGCAGCAGCAGCAGAAGTCATTGCAGATGCAGGGGCAGGTGCCGGTACTGGAGCACGAGCTGCAGGGGCTGGAGGTGCAGTGAATGGGGGGTTGGGGGGGGGAGGGAGAGAAGAGAGAAATAAATCAATGCAAAAAGAGGCAACCTTTGTAAGAGACTTTATACTTAAAATCCTTTTGTGATATCTGTAATGCTTATGCCGCAAGCCTTGCAATACGCTACGGCTGTTCTCTAAGCAGAATTGTCCAAACTTGAGGATTAGGCCCCTTTTTTAGGGCTTCATGAAGATTTGGAGACACAAGACTCCGCTCCCCTGCCCATACTATGAATGAATAGAAAAAAAAGCCAGGGAGCCAGCTGATC